TGAAACTATCCCCATTGATCTCCTCAAGGGAGAGCACAAGGCTCCTGATTTCCTTCAATTGCAGGTTCGAATTTTGATCTCTTCTTCTCTCCTCTGTTTTCAATTAACCTTCTCAACCTAATACGAATTTCCTGTTGCAGCCTTTTGGATCTCTCCCGGTGATTAAAGATGGGGACTACACTCTGTTCGGTAACCATTTTTCTTACTGTACAAAACCAAGTTAACATTGAATGTTGTTTTTTTTTTACTGTGAGATTGATCAAAGTCGATGATAAATCGACAGAATCGAGGGCGATCATGAGGTACTATGCAGCTAAGTACAAGCTTCAGGGGACGGATCTGCTCGGCGGGACCGTAGAAGAAACAGGGCTGGTCGATCAGTGGCTGGAAGTCGAAGCTCACAACTTCAACCCGCACATCTACAGCTTGACGATTCAGATCATGTTCTACCCTGCCGTCGGAACCCCGACCGACGAGAAGGCGGTGGCCGAGAGCGAGGCGAAGCTGGGGAAGGTGCTGGACGTGTACGAGCAGAGGCTGTCGGAGAGCAAGTATCTGGCCGGGGATTTCTTCAGCCTGGCCGACCTCAGCCACCTGCCGTTCACGCAGTACTTGGTGGGTCCGATTGGGAAGGAGTACATGATCAGGAGCAGGAAGCATGTGAGTGCGTGGTGGGATGACATTAGTGGCAGGGATTCTTGGAAGAGGGTTCTCGAGCTTGAATCCAAGGGTTGGGCGGGGAACTGACGATCTCTGGGTGGCGGAATTAATATGATTGTATGTGTGTTTGATGGATTGTGTTGTTCTTGTTTGTGATTTTTTGTAAGTTTTTTCTGTTTTCCTTGTTTGTTCCGGATTTCTCTTTCATTAGAATCGTGTGTATCGTTTTGGTTGGAAAGAAATAATGAAAACTTTGTTGCCTACGTATATCCAGATTTCGAGAGAGAGAAACTTTTCGTTTCTCATGTTAAAGATGTAATCCGTCATATAGAAATTCCACTGTTGCGTACCTCTAACAACTACAAATCGTCTGTGTGCGGTCCAACAAGGAAAGAACGCCGTGCGCAAGTTCACAACAGACGCCATTGAGCATTTTAGCAAAATTAGTTCTCTCGTAAATTTGGGGAAAACATGCTCTTTCAATGTGCTTTAGTTTTATTTAGAGAGAAATGTCAATAAGAAACCATGATATTTACTCAACAAACCACCCCCCCCTCCACCCAAGAAACAAAATAAAATTAAAAGTATCTCTAAACTAGACAAAGAAGAAGAGGCTTTTTCGGCCACATCTGCATTATGAGAAGCCCCAATTTGCAGTCCTATAGACCACACAAAACTCTGAACTTATGTCTAAAGCAGCTACCATATGAAGACGGTTTATAATAGGGGTGACAGTTTGGTTATTTCGGTTATAACCGGTAATCGATCGGCCGATTATCGATTAACTGAAATAACCACCCTCATATTGAAAACCGACCGAAATGGACTTTGGTTTCTCGGTTATCTCGGTTATCGGTTAACCAAACCACTTGTAAGACGACCGATTATCGATTTATCAGGTCAGTTAACGGTAACCGAACGACCACCCCTAGTTTATAAGCACCAAATCTCCAACTGTATCTGATACATCACGCAAACTTGTTGACAGATTACAACTTCAAAAGAGGAGGGAGACCATCTCAAACAACTAGTTGTTTGGCCAAATACAGATTGACGTTCCTAGGATGCTGAAGATCGACAATTCATATGTGTACGACTATATATAGACTTCACGCTTGTAAGTTGTAACTAGCGGTCGCAACAATCCGATTCACAGCGAACCAAATGGTGCCAAATTGATATTTCGACATCGGTTCGAATATATTTTGAATCGGTTTTGGTCTTGTAAATTATTTTAAGTATTAAGAAGAAATATACCAAAATTTAATTTGGACCTGATCAGACTGAATCGCATCAAGCACACTTTTAATCTGATTCTGAATTTTATTTTTCCTTTATTGTTATCCGGCGTTAAATCAATTCGACCGATTCAGGACCAAATCGACCAACTCCCACCTTTACTTGTAAGTTGTAACAACTTCAATGTGCTTCGGTTATTGAGCTGCGCTTTCGTTCAGATATCACTCGCATTATTTCCAATATTTCCTATTACCACATGAAATATGGGCTCCGTTAGGAGTTGGGTTTAGCCGACCCAAGCCCATTGCAAAAGTCATCTCTGGGCTTTATATATTGTTTGGACCAAGGGGGTCATGAGCAAGCAAGAAGGAATGTTGCTTTCAAACAGTTCTTATGGAAGAGTAATTGCAGAGGCTACCTGCTTCATTTTGGTGTTCTGGAAAAAAGAATTAAAAACTACGATAGTTGGTAGCCGGTAAACGGTATCCGGTTAGCTGTGTAGTCTATAATCAAATAGAAAATTGTGGTGAATGGTTGCATCAATAACCGTAATTCGTTGGTTCCTGGTAGTCAAACTAAGGGAAGTACTGACTGATAATTA